GATAGTGAAAAAAAAAAAGGTGGCGGTGGTGGTGTGTGGTGGGTCGCAGTGGAGGTGTGAAAAAAGAGAAGATAACCGTGATTGGGATATGGCGTAGAGAGGTGAAAAAGTATCTGAAAAGGAGAGTTTTGTGTGGGGCCCAAAGTATGCTGACATGTTTTTGTGGTTACCCAAGTATAGTTACAGCTGTCAAACCTACAATCCTAAATAGATTTTCAGGGATACATAATAATAATTTTAGGTGTGACATGTCAAATGCCATAACGCTCTTTTTAAAAAAAAAAAAAAAATATTATAATTAAAGTTAATGTGATATAAAAGTAGGGTTTTAAACGAGTCGACTCGAGCTTAAACTTGGCTCGTTTAACACTTATAATGAGTCAATTTTTGAGCTGACCTCGAGCCGAGTCGAGCTCGTCTTGTTAACCAAACGAGCTTTAATTGAACACGTGTTTAGCCAACCTCGTTTAATTTAACAGCATATATAAAAGTAGTTGAGGAGTGATTAAAATCTATGAGTAATTAAAAATATGAGCATGAATGAATAGAAAATTAAAATTGATGCGGTCTGTGAGAATAATTTATTGATATTATTTAATTATATTGACGTATTTGATAGAGTTCATTGAATAAAGTTGAGTTAAATTTTAAGTTACATATTTGAAAAAAATAATAATTCAATAAGTCCAAATCAGATAATTTATGTAGTCTATCGCCCCCTTATGGTTTGTCTTTGAAACTGAATCAACTCATTTGACGGTTTGTATTTAAAACAACTTATTTTGGTGCTTTTTGTAAAGCTTCGAGCACGGCTTGTTAATTTATTGTCGAGCTCGAGTCTATTTATCAACAAAATTAGTTGATAAGTCGAGTTCGACTTAACTCTATTCGATAAATTAAAGTTTGAGCCCGAAATTGAGTATCAGAAATTCAAACGTGGCTCGGCTGCTTTACAAGTCTGTCCATAATTATTGTACATTTTTTCTTATAAATTGTGCATTGAAAAATTGTATGTATGAAACACAGATAATTCGTATTAAGATATTGTGGTAAGTTAAAAATTTATTGTGAAGTATTGAGCGAGGGAGTATGATGTGAATTAACAGTTTTTTTCTCCATCACACTGCATATTAAGGTAATAAGGTGACACACTATACACTAATTACCTATAACTCATTAATTATTATTAGAATATTCACTTGTGAGTTGTCCCACATCGTTTATATAAGAAAAATAAGTCTAATTTATAAGTCTAATGGCTACTCCTCCTTTTACCAATTAATTTTGGGATGGAACTCCACTCGTTTTCCTCCTGTTACTTACAATCATTATTATCACCATAGAGTTCTCATAAAAAAATGTTTAATTGTTGAAATTTCCAAGTTACACATTTTATAATAGATAGAAATTATAATAATTATGAAAGATACTAAAAAAATGTATTTTTATGTTTCCGCTAATTATGAAAAAGTCCCGTTCTCTTTTTTTTTTTTTTTCCAACGATAATCCATAATATTACTAACTCTCAAATAATAAGCAGTACATCAAATTCGAATACCCAAAGGGGTATCAAACAATGGCCAACAACAGCTAGACCAAAAAACAGGGAGACAAACAAGTTCCCTTACCCAGCCAACATGGCTTACCTTACACATCACACAAAACAAACCTTCATTCAGATATATAAGAAAAAACACAAGAAAAAACACCTCGCATGTTATTTGTGAGCTCCTTAACCAGCTTCTTGTTTTCTATTTGCACCACCAGATTTCCCATCTGAATTTCCACTAAGCACACCAATGTCCACCTTATTGTTGATAGCCAAGCCTCCACTGAATTTCCTAAAAAATTCCTAGATACAGCTTTGTCTAGCACCAACACAGAATCAAGCACAGCAGTAAAGGCACAATGAACTATGCCTTCGTTACCTTGGACAGCCTTAACTTTCACCATCAAAGTGTCCCTGGTTTGCTCCTTTAACTTGTCCTGCTCGGATAGCATTAGATCCACCCCTCCACTGATCACTGCACTCTCCTTCTGTACTGGAAGAAACTCCAACCAGCCATGTTTTGCATTTTCCACCACCTTTTCCTCTGGGATCCAACATTTGTCAAACACCCAAGAATTCCTGGTTTTCCATAACCACCAAAGTAGATAAGTTGTAAGACTTATTCTATCTTTGAGGTTTTGGAAATTCCTCCCCCCACACACATCACCCCACCATTCTTTGAAGCTGCCATTGTGTGAGTTGACTTTCCACCAATGAACCCCAGCCATTTTTCAGCATTTGACAGCTCTGGTGCATCTGAACAGCAAATGTTCCAGGTCTTCCATCTCCATTCCACAACACATACAAACTGCTTCCTCCCTCACACCCTTTGATTGCAGGTTCAAACTTGTTGCCACAAATCCATGCCAACAGCGCCATATGAAATGTCCCGTTCTCAATATTGTTAATTTAAGCCATTGCAATTATATCACCATTCCTATTGTGTTTAAGTATTTTACAAATCTGAATTAGCTATTAGAATCTCTAGTTGTGGATTATATTAAAAGAATCATAGTAATTTTTTGCTTTTATTGGGAAAAAGTTGTGATTATGTTCACCCGTTTAATGAGATACCAGCACATCTAGAACATAGAATGTCTATTTATACAGAAAATGATTAGTTTTAATAGTATAGTTAATGCTTCTTTCCCTCCTCTCACTTAGTTACTACTTAATACTCCATATTTTTCCCAAAATATTTATAATTTTAGCTTTGTTTTCATCTCCAAAAATACTATATAGTTAAGTATGTAACTATTTTAATTGCCTTGAAAATTCACATGAATTTAGATGAGTTAATGAAAGGGATGTATTCAAAACATAAAGCCTAGGTAAAAGAAAAAAAACAAAGTATGTCTTTATCCTCTTCCTTAATACATGTTCATAAACCTAAATCTACTAGTACTTTGGATAGATAAGTGTAGAAAAAAATTTGAGAAAAAGGAGCAATTCTCAATAAATTATTTCACTTTCACCACAAATTTACATGTTTATGGTTATTTTCCAAAATGACAAGAAATGCAAAGTATGCAACACCTTATTTCCTTGGTGAGTTAAAAAATAATTAACAATACCTACAAAAGAAGCATTAATTTATGAGTTATAAATCCCAATACTTTAGCCCCTCCTAATAAAGAATNAAGGACGAGCTCGTCGAAAAATTGAGGAATAGAGATCCCGAGAAAAAGCGAAAGGCCCGTTGTGATGAGGTTCTTCATTGAGTTCAGTTATTGAATTGAAGGAATGATAACATCAAAATCATAAAAGACAAGTTAAGCCAAAAATTTTCCTCAATTTCTCCTTCCCTCTAAACTCTTCAGTTCTAAGAAATTACACTCCAAACAAATATAAAAAAAATCCGAAAAATTACAAAAATTATCACGAGACCACTATATTTGTTATCCATAGCTCCAATTGATCCATATGGTCGTGGCTACACGTTTCAATGACATGCATGAAGTGTAGACCAATCTCTTTTTTTGCTGCCACAGTGACATATAAATTTTTTTGATTGAACTCAAAACATTGTGGATGTTCGAGGATGCTTGGATACAAATTTATCCAAAAAAAATCCAATTATTTTTAACTCAACCACTTTTTTTTTAACTCAACTTTAACTCAAACCTCACTATCATCAATATTATCAATATAATTAAGTAATATCAATCAATCATTCTTACACACCACATCAACCTTAATTCACTATTCATCTACTCACATAATTTTAATTAACCATCACATCAAATCATCTCTTTCCTACTTTTACATCAAATCAATTTTAATTATTTTATTTTAAATATTATTTTAATATACCAACTAACAACTAACCATACCAATTTTTTTCAAAATTAACTACACCAAATCAAAAAATTCAAACAAATCTAAAACCTTTCCCCGGTTCACGCCGGAAAAACCGATGGACCGGTTTAATCGAATTACGTCATATTCTTTACTTCTTCTCTCTAATCAGTTCTTTTGTCTTTCTTGTTCTTCTCTCACACACAACACGGGTAATGGACACGCAGTCAACGTGTACCTGCTGTATGCCAACACCTCTGCCCCAAGCGAAAAAACCCATTTTTATTCCAATCCCAATTTCCCTTTGCAATTAATCCAAGCAATCTCCTTCACATTAATGGCGGGCCTTTATTGTTTCTGTTGATTGTTTATCAGGCGCGTCTATCGGTGCGCGTGTATTGCTGCTGTTGATCTTATCCGTTGATGCCCGGCATCGGATCAATCTTGGCCGTTGGCTCGTTCTGTTTTTTGAGCTCCATTTTCGTTTTCCTTTTGAGTGCGTGTATTGTTTAATGAGGTTCTGGGGCGGTGCCGGCTGCTATTTTGATTGCTCTGGACAACAATTTTTATGGGATTCGCTTGATGAGCTTCAGCTTGCATTGTTGTATTCAGGTTTTGAGTTTTGATTTTTTATTGGTCTTGTATACATTTTTCTTTAATTTGAGTTGGTGATCGATGGATGGTTATTTTCTTTATCCTTTTTTGGCTTTTGATCTGATGGAACAGTGGTGGATGGTGTGAAATTGGAAAAGAAGGGAACTTTAGGTACTTATTTCGTTAATGGCGAACGGGAGCAACACCGACCGCTGCGTATTTCCTTTGACGGGCTTGCAAATTGGGTATTGTGTGAAGTCTTTTGATCTGAATTTTGTTCTGGAAGAATCTTACTCGTGTTAGTTTGTTTGTTATCTTGGCTCTGTTTTGTGTTTCTTGTTGCACGTTTTGAAAGATCAGCTGACTCTGTATCTGTTAACACATGTGTTCGCTCGTTCTTGGAGAAATAATTCATTTGTGATTAAGTAATGAATTCAACTTAAAGTAGTTCATCAATTTTGAATTAGTATTCTCTCATATACGTTTCAGTTGGCAATTCTCCGTACTGTTGGTACTCGGGAGGCTGTACAAAGCTTATACGATGTATAATGGATGCTTTTTAAGTTTTTCATGGTTCACTTTACCATATAAGTTGTTTGCTAGAGTTTAGAAGGAAAAGTTGAATAATTCATTTCCTGAAAGCCCGAGTATTTTTTTTAGTGAAAATTTGCACGGATTGTGCTCATCTCTGATCATACTGTCTTTGATCACCTTGCATTCCTTTCTCTCCACAATTTTGGTGCTGAGCATGTTTTGTTTTGTTTTCAGTTCGTATCTAATAAATTTGATACAAGAGACCCTTTTTTTGTTTCTTTCTCATATTTTGCTCATGTATGGTGTTCCTTTCTCAGAGATCTACAGTCCTACCTTTCACACCTCAGCATATTTACGGCATCTGAGAGTGGTAATTTCTACATCTTGGTGGACAACAGGCCATGGTTAAAAGATCTTGTGTCACGGCCCACACATTTGTGGCAATTGATGGTCACCAAGGTTTGCTAAAGCACCTCTATCTCACTCAAGCTTGTTAGAATTTGGAACTTTTTAAAAATATGATTTACTGATAATTGTAATCGTACAGTCCAGATTATCCCCTTTTGCTAACACCGGGGGTAGGAAGGAGAGGAAGATGATGGAAGAAGTTTCGGATATACCGGCTGCCTCGTCATCAAACGGTCGAAATTTGAGGGATTTTAAGAAATGGGTTTCTTTGATTGATGCTTTGATGCTGTCCAGGAAGAGGGCGTTGATGCCCGTAAAGAAACTTAGGAATTCCTTGATTGCAAACAGCAAGTTGCATAGGACTTTGTACGGATTCATCGTGTTTGAGGTTGAATGGGGAGATGTGCGTGGTATTAACTATTTGAATGAGCTTCAGGTAGTCGGTTTGTCAATTATTCATTTGAATACTGTACTTTGACATTTGTTCTTTAATTCTGAGCGTTTTTTTTTTCTTGTGTTTGTGATGTTAAAGACTGATACATCACTTGCAATAGAGGCTAAAGTTATGAGGAGGTGGGAATTTGATAGCATAGCTCAAGCAGCTAGGTCAATATCCTCTTGGTTCCCAGGGACACTCGATGAACAGATTCTCTTGGAAGAGCATTTAGATGCTGTATTAGGTATTTCGAAATTTTTTTCTCTCTTATCGTATTTTTTTTTAACTAGTTCTGCCCCATTTACTCATCTTTGGTCACTGATTCAGGTAATAATGTATGAAACATGACTTGAACAAATGTATAGAGAATTAGATGAATGATTCGTCTCTCCATGTTGGTTTACTGAAATTGCTTAGGTCAGATAGAAAACAAGTCATGAGAGCGTGCTTGTTTACAAATTAATCCGCTCAAAACGAGTTTTTTTGGTTAACCAAAAATGTGGTACGGTTAGTTTTTAGTGGGATTTTGAGTTTATATTAAAATAATATTTAAAATAAAATAACTAAATTTTATTTGATGTAAAAGTAGGAGAGATGATGTGTGAAGTGATGGTTAGTTAAAATTATGTGAGTGGATGAATAGTGAATTGCAGTTGATGTAATGCGTAAGAATGATTGAGTTGTATTGTTTAATTATATTAATAAAATTGAGGATAGTGGGGTTGAATTAAAGTTAAGCTAGATTTTGAATATAAATTAAAATGTGCGTGAGATATTTTGTATACAAAAAGTGATATGCATGATGATTAAAGTGTAGATTGGGTTAATTTGCTTCTGCTTGTAGTTCTCCATTGAAGTACAAATTTCTTTTTTGGGGCGATTTTATATTTTGAACTGGTTGATATTTGCCCTTGCATGGATGACATACTTGATCATCAATTTCTTTTCATCTTGTGAAAAGAAGTTATTTTTAGCAAAATCCCTCCCTCGTAGCATGTGGTAATTCCGTGTGCAAAAACCATTGTGCAATATTCACTAATAGAACAACAAAAAGATCAGTATTCAGTAACCATATTATCACTAAATTTGAGATTTTTCTCAGGAGAGGTTTTCCATGATGCTCAAGAAAGATTCCCCCGAGCTAACGATGACATCATCAATGACGAAATGTGCACCGGAGATGAATCCCTCTGTTTCAATGTCTATCCAGTGAAAACGGAGAATAGGTTTAGTAGATTAATCACGCCACCTCCACTGGACGCTCCTTACAAAAGGAGGAAAGTCATGACACCAATATATTGTGACCTCGGGATTTCTTCGGGAGAAGAAACAGATAATAACGAAACAGTCGAAATTCTTCCTCATCAGTCCCCTGACCCGAATAATCCCGAAGAAATACCTAAACCCACATTGTACAGAGATGTTCTGATTTTATTCCGGTTCAATGATAGAGACCTCCCGTTCAAACTAAAAGACATAATCATGTCCGATTTGCGGCTACTTACCCTACTCGAAGCTGGACTTCCTTCTTGGGTTATCTTCCTTCAGTCTTACCCGGTATTTTGCCATTTTTATCGCCCGTGGATGTGCCCTCTGGCTAGAGCCTTATACGTGTTCATATCGATTGTGACAGTCCTAATCGGATTCTACGACTTGTACAAAAACGTGCCCCTCCTCAAGGCAACAGCCTCGAGTTTGTTTGGACCCTTTTTCGACTGGATCGAAACGCTCGAGATGATTTCGAGGATTAAGTATTTAGGAACAATGTTATTTCTTCATAATTTTCAGAAGGCAGTCAAATGGTTCCTCATGGTGACTCGAACCGCTCGTACGTGCCTGTCGTTCGTTTTAGATCCAATGGCCGGGCCTTTTGCTGAGGTCATGGAATTTTTTGTACCAATTTGGAGCATTTTTGTGAAGCTGGCCGAGAGTTTCTTCTCGGTGACTTGGATGGTGATCGAGTCTTGTTTCACAATGGTAGGGGACCTTATAGAGATTTTACTGCTTCCGGTTTGGTACATTTTGGGGGTTGTATGGAATATTGGTGAGCTAACTTCATGTTACGATTGTTTTTGCCCCCCCTTTTTTTTGGGTGATATAGATGTGTAAGAAATGTGGATATTAAGAATTTTTTTTTGTTTGATTTGCAGCAACATCTGTTATATACCCTATATTCTGGATTATATGGGAAATTATGTACGCTCCGATTCGGCTAGTCCTTGGGTTTTGTAGCCTTGTGGTGTATACGTGTAAATTTGTATACGAGTTGGTTGGAGACTTATTGCTGCTTTCAAGTAGCATTTTTAACTTAACGAGTGAGGTCGAGTCAACAGTGAGCTCGTATGAGGTCTCGATGTGGCGTTCGCTTTGGAATGACCTTTTCTCCCAGGTGATGATTTCATTGTGAAATTACACTTCTAATTGGAGTTAATATGCTTTTGATTTCTAATCTGTTTTTTTTTTTTTAATCAGATTTTCCGTGCTCTGCGGAGTATTCTTAACGGCTTTGTGGCTTTCTTTGCTGCTTGTAATCGACACCGCCTTAGGTATTTAAACATTTTTTTGGCACATAGTTAAATAAGTTTCTTTTCTACGAATTTCTGAAAGTCTTGAGAGAAATTGAAATATCATCCTGAGTATGTATTTATTTGGCAAAATTTGTAACTAAAAAAGAATTTTGTGAAATATATTGCAGATTGTGATTCTGAGTTTCTAAACTGCAGTTTTCTTGAATGTTTTTGTTGGTTTACAGCATTTATAATCATATGAAGGGTGTCAACAACAGATTAACATGTGCAGCTCGAAGGACAACAAGTCCCGAAAGGCATACTCAGATCGGACAGAGTCCAAAAGCTCACACAATAAGTGTAAGCACATCATATGCCTAACTAAACTTTATTTCGTACTGTATTGGCTTTCATTATGAGTTGCCTGCATGAAATAATTACCAGAATTTTTTATTCAATTTGTTGTATTCTGCAGCCACTAAGTAGGAAAGAATTCCAGCAGAATCACGCTAAATCGAAGAAGACAAAATGACACTTCGTACAGAGTAACACAAATGCCTACGGTCGGGTAATTTGGGGATAGTGCAAATTGTAAAAAGTAAAAACTGAAAACATGAGAAGCATTTTGTCGATCGAGGTTTGCAAACGCGCTCCCTTAATTTGTATATACGAGAGGACACCTGTAATAATAACATATGCTTCATTCAATAAGTGAAATTTGTACAGTGGAAAATTTGTTGTTTAAAGGAAGAGCTGAAATCTTGAGTATATATATGATCACCAAAATGGGAATATTTTTAGCCCCACTAGTGTGTACCCCGTGCGATGCACGGGAACAATATTAAATTAACAATATTATAAATAGACCTCGAGTTTGAGTCAATGGCGGAAGTGAAAACTACTATTGATCGTGTTTAAAAAGAGGAAGAAAAAAAATAATTATAAATAAAAGAGGAGGATAAACAATACGTAATAATTATAAATTAAAGATTCGGGGTCAAACAATGTAAAATGATTTTGTATAAGAGAATATAAAAAAAAATTGATTACACACCATTTCAAAATTATTATTATACTTTTTTGTATGGTTAGCTTAGAATATTTGTAAAAATAATAGTAATTAGACCGATGAAAATTAGCTTTTTAAAGTAGATAATAGATTTTAGTAGTAATTATGAATTAGTTTCTATTTTATTTTATTTTTTCTTTTTAAAGATAATAAATTTCTAGCAGTAATTATGAATTGATTTCTATTTTATTTTATTTTTTCAAATCCGTATAGATAAGAGATGAGATTTTTTAAACACCTAAGATCGTATGAAATAAGATTTTGTAACATAAGAGATAAGCTCGTGTAGATTTATACTAAAAATAGGAAAAAGAAAAACAAATATTTATTATTAAAACGATAAACTAAGAAACAGGAAAAAGAGAAACAAATCTTTACACAATTCATGAGCAGATTTTTTTGCCTATTCAGATTTGTCCAACAATTACTATATATAGGATATATTTAATGATTTTGGCGGAAAAAAATTTCTAAATTTGTAAAAAGGTTATTTTTTTTATATAATGATAGATTTTTTGTAGGCATATCAGTCTATGCCATTTCATTTAACATACCAATTTTGTTATTTTCTTTGGAGATATATGTTTCTCTAATCAAATCCAATTCATTTTGCACGCCATTCTACTAAAAATTACTCTTTTCTCCTTATTCTACAAACACTAGTAAGAATTTGCAGAATTTAAAACATAAAAATAAAAATAAAAAATTAATTAGGTCAGACCTGTGGTTCATCTCACCAACATAAACTTTTTTTTTTTTTAATTTATTCTCGCATTAAACATAAAGGTGCCTGAAGTTCGTTTTAAGTTGCATTTAATTTCTTTCACACATAATTGAAGCAATTCAAGCAACAAGCAAAAAACACAGCTAGCATATCAATGCAAGCTGACCTAAAGCTAGACAAAAAACTATATACATTAGAAACTATACAAAAAGTTCAAGGAGAAAGGACCAGCACTTTTATTGTTCCTTTACTATTGGCAGCTAACATTGTGGGGCTATCACTCTTCCAGCAAACTGCACATATGAAGTAAGATACCGAGCCTTCTTCCTCATCCTCCACATCGGGCGATTCAAAATTATGCCACATGGCAGGTTTGGAGATGGCCTGAGACTCACCGAATCAGATATTCACAATTTTCCATGCAAGAAAACAAAATTGACGGAAAGTGAAAGGGATGACACGCCACAAGCTTTCGTTCAAGTTTGAACAAATTTCAAGGAAATAATTTTGAAACTACAAAAACCTCCTCCTTCAAGAAAGCATCTGTCTTACACTTGCCACACGCCATTAATTAAGCTGATTGAGAGAGTCAAATATCTTTACAACTCAATTTCCTCTAATTATTGCGAAATCTCTCTTTTGCATTATACTCTTACAACCCTCATTTCCTCTAAATGTAGAAGCATAGCTAGACGAAAAGATGGGATTACTCTATTTTAAAAGTCGAGAGCTGTAGTTTAATTTGTACTACCTCCTATTTTTTTTAAATATCATTTTAGCTTTATCAATCATTAACCGTTTTGGATTTTTTGTACAAATTTTTCCATTATTACCCTCATTTAGCTAATAATTACACTACGTCTTTTCATATTCACTCTTCATCTTTTCTCAAAACATCCATCTCTATCTTGTTATTATTGACAAAAAAAAGTTAATTATTGTGCAACTTCTCAAAACGACACTTATTAAAAAAGTTAGAGCATGTTTGTTTACAAGAATTTTCAAAAAAATTCCAACATTTTAACTCAACCACTTTTTTCAACTTAACTTTAACTCGACCCACTATCATTAATATTATCAATATAATTAAATAATATCAATCAATCATTCATACACACAACATCAACCTTAATTTACTATTCATCCATTCACATTATTTTAACTAACTATCACTTCAAATCACTCCTCTCCTACTTTTACATCAAATCAATTTTAATTATTTTATTTTGAATATTATTTTAATATACCCACTAACACCTAACCATACTACCTTTTTCAAAATTAACCAAACCAAACAAAACCAAAAATTTTCATAAACAAACATGCTCTTACTTTTTCTTGATGCGCAGTTACATTTTTCTTGTTGCCCTAGCTATACTTGAAAAAAAGAAGTTTACCACCTGATTGGTGATTAAGTTTCTTTTGGTTTTTTATTTCTCAGATTTATTTTAGGCAGAAGGTAACTAATATGTTTTCTAATTCAATATGTTTATCGTGTATTATTTTTTATGGATTAAGGACGGGTGAAGATTTTGAAAATATTTGACATAAGATGAATCTTGTAAAATATTACCACTTTTCAATTTGTTTTGTAAAACTTTAGTTCTCAATCACAAGAATCTTCAAATATATGGAATGCAAATGTCATATCTCTCATTCTTCTCATAAACTTTGTAGGCATGCATCCATGGGTCCGGTACGCGAGCTGCTGAAACGCACCGACCTGATGATTGTGTGGCGCTCGAAGGTGGCCAACAAAGTGAGGACCTTGTGGGTGACCTGTAAAGTGAGGACCTTGTGGGTGACCTGTAAAGTGATGACCATGCACGGAAAGGTTAAACATGTCCTCACTCCAGGTTTACTCATCGCCGAGAGCTTCAGGATTTTGCTTTTTGATATACCGATGTACGTGCTAGATAGGTCGCTTGATAACGTTGAGAAGAATATTTCAAAAATATTGGAGGAGATTCCAGCCATTGACGAGGTTAGAAAGAAGGTGGATGCACTCAGTTGATGGATGCACTCGAGCAGAAGTTGACTACTCAGATTTTGATTTCCTTGGAGAGGGCTAGAAAAGAGAAGGGATGACATAGGGCTTATGTCATTGGCAGTTTTGTGCTTGTTATCATTGGTTTGATATATGTTGCATCTAACTAGTTTAGTTGAGTTGATTGTTGGGATATATCAACAACCAACTCAACTTAGATCCAAGATATATCAAACCAATGGCAACAAGAACAAAACCGCCAATGACATAAGCCCTATCTCATCCCTTTTCTTTTCTAGCCCTCACCAATGAAACCAAAATTTGAGTCAGAATGTGAATCAACTTCTGCTCGAGTGTGTCCACCTCTTGCTAACCTCGTCAAAGGTTGGAATCTCCTCCAATATTTTTGAAATATTCTTCTCTAACATTATCTAACAACCGATCTAGCACGTAGTATATCAAAAAGCACAATCCTCAAACCCTCGGCGACGAGTAAACTTGGAGTGAGGACATGTTTAACCTTTTTGTACATGGTCATCACTTTGTTGGCCACCCACGAGGTCCTTACTTTGGTGGCCACCTTTGAGCGCCACTCACTCATCAGGTTGGTGCGTCTCAACAACTCGCGTACCGGACCCATGGATGCATGTCTACAAAGTTTGTGAGATGAATGGGAGATAAAACATTTTCATTTCATATATTTGAAGATTCTTGTGAATGAAAAATAAAGTTTCACCAAACAAATGGAATTGACAATATTTTACAAGATTCATCTTATGTCAAATATTTTCTAAATCTTCACCCGTCCTTAATCCATAAAATCGAATACATGATATATATATATATATATATATTGAATTATAAAACTAGTTACCTTCTGCCTAAGTCTGAGAAATAAAAAACAAAAGAAACTTAACCACTTGGTAAACAACAACCTTTTCAAGTATAGCTACGACAGAAAGAAAAAAAGTAAAAGAGCATCAAGAAAAGAGCAAATAAGGTCTATAACTAATCATCATCCGTCCTTAAGCCATAAGATGGACATCCTAATGAAAACCTAAATAAAATTAATTACATTTTAATGTCATAGTATTTTTTAAGTTCAAATGATGCCTAAAATAAATCTGAAAAAATAACAAACAAAAAACATAACCACCAATCTAGCAATAAGCAACAACCTTTTGTTTTCAACTATAGCTAGGGAATCAGGAAAAAAACAACAGCCAACCTTCATTTTAAGTTTCACAATTTGTGCAACCACCATTTTTTTTTTCAACTACAGCTAGGGCAGCAGGAGAAAAAACAACAGCCGACCTTCATTTTAGGTTTCACAATTTGTAAAAGGGTCTATAACTAAAGCAAGTAAGATTAGCAAAACTAGAGTATTAGAGCTTACCGGGAAAATGCTAGAGAGGACCTCAAAGCAGCTGCGGCATGTCTATATACAATAAAACTTGTGGAATACTAAATCCAAGCTTACCATATGAATAGCAACTTAAAAAAATGAAATACACAAGCCTATAGTGAGTATAGACGTGTGAAGGGTAAAGTAGACGTACCAATGTGTAGTCGCCTTCGAAGCATACCTTGTGGTCCTAGTAGCAATGTCATCACCTCTGTAAACAAATAAGTATATAAAGCGTACACTTGTTAAATTATAAAATAATAGAAAATAGAACAAGGCAATAACGAGAAAAAAAAGAAATAAACAAAGTAACCTAAATGATTTGCTTTCAGGTTATGAAATAGAACAAGGCCAAATATTGCAGAGGATATGAAGGATTTCTGAGTTTTTAATTTCGTTTTTTTAAATGTGTATAGAGAAAATAACACAGATTCAAAACCAGCAAACCTAACAGACCATATAAAACATCAAGCAACAAGATCCGAACTCAACAACACCAAGAGGCCACAAAAAACCACAACAAACAGCAAACNTCCATAACACCAACAGGAATACACTAAATATAAAACTTACATTGCTACAGCACTTACTCAGCTTAAATTATAGATAATAATCATAAAAGTATCACCAAAGATAATCGCATAACATGAAAATCTTGAGATAATAAAATCAAACACCAAAAATAATCGCACGTTAAAAATGGGCTTCAGTTATGCAGGAAAAGATAGAAAATGAAATTTACGAGTGAATTTTGCTTGACATCCCATAGTCGAAGCGTACTATCTGTCGATGCAGAAGCAAGTTCGTTTTCAGACAAAAATTTTACGTAAGAAACCGTTTTTTTGTGGCCACTGAACACATGAATAGGATGACAAGTGTTCCGCAAGTCATAATAATGGATATGATGATCTGCAGAACCAACCTGCAGAATACAAATGGCACAATTTTAGCCGTTTCATTTTTCAAAGGAAAGAAATCTCAGCTTATCTGCCACTGCTAATTTTACCTTTGCTCATTGTCCCTTAATTTTATTTTTGAAGGAAAAGGAAAAGATGAGAGTTGAATAGGGTAGACAAGAAAGACTATTACCACAATATATTTGCTCGATTCAGGATTATACTTTACAGAGCATATATTTGCCTTCATATCAATGTTGAGGACGCTGGCTTCTTGCTTAGTACACCATACTTTAACCTGAAATTTCCGTAAATTGATCAAGTAGGGTTCCCCATACGCTGAATGATAGAAAATGCATTACAATTTTTGTGTCAACCGTATGAAGGCTACACAGAGGAACCAAAAGCTTGCATGGGTACTAGTTCTCATATCAAAGGTATATCAAAATATTACAAATAAGATTTGCTAGCCTTGAATGTCTCAGTATTACATTATTCACAATCATAATATTTACTAGTCTTTTTGATCCAGAAAAGGGGGAAAACAAAGATAAAAGAAAAATGTGAGCAAGGATGAGAAACAAATTAGACGTGGCCTCCATTTGAGCAATAAAAGTGTTGCCACTTCACCTTGCAGTCGTCACTACCAGACACGAGCATTGAAGGGTCTGTGCGGGAAAAATCAACACACCATGCACGTTTTTCATGTTCCTCATATTCCATGATACTCTGAATGACCCCAAAAGTTAATTAGTGCTTACAAATTAGTTATGGGTAAGGGCCTTATCGAAATTTCGTTGTTTGTGCTAAATCCTATCGGCTGTGTAGATGCATCCCATACAGTTACAATTCCTTCGTAATCACTAATAGCTATTTGACATTTCGTGAAGCGATTCCAGCTCAGATAGCTAAGCTTAGACCGTGTTGCCAAAACATAATGTCCAGATCACTATCAGAAAACTTCAAGGATCACAAAACGGGTAGGTAAAGGTAACTAATTGATATGTTGATAAATGTTGGGAATAGGTGTAATCTCCTCTAAATGTATTTGAAGTGTGGAAAAGCTAGGTACAGATAGCGTAGGTAAAGAGGAGAAAGAAATCTACCAAAGAGAAATCGAAAATTTTTATACGGCGTGAAAGTCCAGCAGTGGCAAACAGCTCATCATCACGATCAAATTCTATACTGCAATAACGGTAGAATGATTTTTATGTTAAAACAAAAACCAAAACAGAAATAATATGGAGTACAGATGGCCAATTTCATAAAAGAGTTTCAAGAAAAGCATCTAGCTTGCAGCACCCCATAAAACTTCCTGGAGTGTTCATTGGCGGAGTGATCTTAAATCATATAATAAGAACTACTCATCTCTGTCGAAAGAAATTGTTTCTTAAAACAGTATTCCATATATGAAGTAATGTGTTTACTGCGTACAGAGAAGGCACCTAGCTGTAAACTTGTGATCCTAAATGAGTAATTTATTTCTAGTCAAAATTTTGAACAATCATATGTAAAGAAACTTTCAAGAGAACTGAAGTGTCAAATTTAAGTTACCAGAAGCTTCTTCATTTTCTACTTTCAAGGGCACGCAGATGAACGTTTTCCTCCTACTAAATTTATCGAGAAATCACATTCCTCTTACTGCCAACACAAGATTTGTTCCACATGAGATGTAAATCAGGCTATTTTCCATCACAAGATTTGTTCCACATGAGATGTAAATCAGGCTATTTTCCATCGGAGAATTAACATAAAGATATTCTCAGATGAAAAACCTCAGCAACGTACTGTTTCAATTTCCAACTTACCTTGAGATAATATTCGCTGAATGAAAGAGATCCCCATGCGTAAGTTCCGCAATCACTCGTAATAGGCTGGAACCAGGATAAGGTCAACTAATAAACATTAGAAGATGAAAGTAAAAGCGGCAATGGTGGAAAAACAATAGGGGAACCAAATCATCTCTACCTGTACCGGGTGAATGTACTTGTGGCATGATTGGTATGATGGAATGAAATTTCTTAGGAATAGAATGAATTGAAGAATATAATGATTATGGGAATGGAATGAAACATATTTTGTCATTCATGACGTTTGGTATGCAGAATGAATAAGACTAGAATGGAATGACATTATCATTTTTTATTATAAAAATAAATAGAAGTTTTTTTAAAAAAAGTATACTTTTAATAAATTATATATAAATACTTTTTTAATAATATATAAAGATAAAATAATATATTTTTAATAACATATAAAATTAAATAATATATTTTTAATAATATGAAAAATAGTATATTTTTAAATTATATATAAAAATAATTATATTTTTAATATTTTTCAATAATATATTTTTAATAATATATTTTTAAAAGTAATATATTTTTAATATATAAAAAATAATATATTTTTAATAATATATAAAAATAAAATAATATATTTTTAAATTATATATAAATACTTTTTTAGTTTTATTTTTATATAAGTATTTAATATATCTAATTAAAAAATAAATAAAAGTAAGTTTTCAATTTTTTTATTTGAAATTTTGTTTAAAATAACTTTATTTAATATATTTTAATCATGATTTATAATATATATTATATATTTATTTTTTATTATTATTTGTTAATTTTATTTTTTGAAAAATTGATTCCTACACACATGGGAATGAGAAAACCCTCCATTTACTATGGAATGGCTAATCCCATGGAGATGGGTTTTGCCATTCCCATTGGAATGACTATTCCTTCTCAAAAAATATACCAATCATGGAATAAGGAATGAGTAAAGGAATGATCATTCCATTCCTATGTCATTCCATCATACCAATCATGCCATTAGAACCTAATGGAAATCTTGTAGACCAGAACTATAACCTTCTCTTCTTAATTATAGTTTTATCCTTCTTTTCTTGGTTCTCTGAATGGTTCACCAATTGACGTCTCTTTTGTAAGTAAAATTCTTGAAGTTCATTAAACTGCAAAATGAAAATTATCAATCAACAAGAGACTTTACTGCAAGTGTTGAAAGATAAACTCAACAAGCAAAGGAAGCTTGTTTTAACTGACTTACAAACTTGCAGCAGCGGCAGGTACAATATAAATGACACAAGATATTAACCACACAACTGTGGGGAAGACCAAATCAACCACGGCTGGAAATTAGTAAATTACTAATGCCCTTTACGAATTAGTTTCAAGTTGATTGTTTAAAGAGATTCAAGTAAAGAAAAGCGTGAATTAATACAATTAAATGGATAGGAATGATGCCAAGAAGAAACCACAATATATTCCTTGATTTCTACACATGGCCTTTATGTTTTACTCATGAAACTGGTCTCCTTGGCCCTTGCCTGAAAATGGTACCATTATGGTGTACAACTAATCCTCGAGAAGTTTGACATGCTAACATATATTTACAATTAGTGAAACCACGTGCAAGATCTTTGCACAAAAGTGACAGGTAATGATATTTTATAATTATTCACCAAGGACAAGTGGTATTTGGATATTAAGACTTTGATCAAGAAATTCCAATACATTCACAAAGTATTTTAACTCATTTCCATTACTATCATTTTATTGAATAATTTCTAGCCTCGGAATATGCACTCGTAAAGCATACAAGTAGCTATATAGCACTTCAAAAGCAATATGGAAAATTAGTGTAACGTATTAGCAATACACTTTAACTCGTGGATGACACTCTCACCTCATGTGACTTAGGCTGCTGTCACATGCAGTTGACCTTTTAGAATAGTTTCCATAAAGATAATGAAACTTCAATTAAATATATTGAACTAAGGGGTATATTTTCAGTAAAAAATAAGTTTCTCACGTGCAATGGAGAACGGGCAGAGTTCCTTATCCTACATTATGTATGATTAACTGGACAAAGATGTATAAAGTTCACTTTGTGAAACATCAGACTATCACACCTTATTCAGATTACAATACATATGTAACATCCATACAAATATAGAAAATACTACTTATTACATGAATAATATATATATATAGCCTAAGAGTTACTGAAAAGTTAGATACAAATAGTGTGTGTTTTAGAGAGAGAGTCAGGAGAAAGCCATATACTGCCTATTATGCTTTGGGAATATAAATACACATAAAGAAGAAGTACATAAAGCTATTCAGATTTTTAAGCATATAGTATCATCAATATGTACAGACGTAACAACATCCCGCATACTAATATCTCGAGCCTTTTCAAATAAATTCACAAATCAAATTCTTACGAGGATAAAGGATTGTCAGTTGAATTTTGAACCCGCTTTTTCCGCATGACCGCCAGATCGCCTACATGTTGTGAAGTCGGCACATCACCCTTGCTCTGTGTCCCATGGGGGCTGACTTGAAATTTTCCCTCATTTTTCTTGCAGTGCACTGGAAGAGTTGTACGAGGAACCCGGAATACTTCTATCCACTAAAGAAGCATGGAGTCTTATTCCCACTGGATCATCAGAGAACATATTCATTTTAATGGAGCAACTTTCTCTTGCACGCTTTAGGGTCATTTTGTGTCTTTCGACGGCGGTTAGATCATCCTTGATGTATAAAATATCATTTTGCATCTACAAAGAACAAGAATGAGAGGTAACACCTTGTCTCTAAGTTGAATTCAAAAACATTTACTGTATAACTTAGTGAATATCCCTGGTCAGAAGCCCAACAGAATGGCTTCAAGTGGCTCAATTACATATCAACTCAATTACACATCAACTTTGCAACCCTAGTTTTTTATCCACAGTTTATATCACTTATAATTCATAGCTCACGCAACGTTGCAACCGAAATATTGAAATCGTAATTAAACATGTCATGAAAATGTGACAAAAGAATGAACAAATGCAAAAGGACAAATTCAACAAAAGAGTGATAAATGAAATAAAGCCTCGTCTACTATTTTGAAATCCTACACGTTAAGCTAAACATAGGCAAAATGAAAGTTAATCAAGGTATTGGAATTAAGAACAGAAAATATTAAGTGAATGCCCAACTAAAATCTTAAATTCAAGCAATCTAAATTGAATAACATAACCCCTTTTTCTTGAACTTTGATTTTATTACGGACAAACCAACCTTATTCAGATCATCAATTTTTTTCTGCCTTAAGTTGTGTAGGAAGTTCAATAGGATTTGCAAGCTTTTCTCTGCCTCATCTTGTTCCATTCTTTTCTTTTTTCAGCCACCAGAGACAACAGAGAGCCTAACTCCTTTGCCGACTCTTCGAGAATTGCATGATACAACTATTAACGTTGAGGTAATGAAAGTTACAAATGATTAATCTTATAATATAGGGTGCTGAAGAAGTATTTATCAGTGTTGATAGGGGAAAAGAAAGTACGTGATAAATGATAAAAATAAACAATTATAAATTTTTGAAACGACGAAAATATTAGGAATCGCTGTTTTAATTAATCATTAACATTTTCAAAGGAATTCCCAAGTTTGAATTACCTTTTCTAATGATTGGCGAAATTGTTCTACAGGAGAGACGGTTTTTAAATGCTCACGAGCAAATATCTTTTTCAATAGCCACAAATGTGGCACACTAAGCTGCACTGTGAGGTAAATATCTCAAGATGCAAACTTTGTAGGAAACCAAACAATGTAAGTCAATAGTACAATAAAGTAGTGAAGAAAAGTTGCAAGCCGCGTAGATAAAACATTGCAAGTCTAGCTTCAAAGAGGTTAGCAGTTAGCACAGATACTTGCAAACTATTAAAGTTGAACAATTAGTCCCAAAAACTAGAAAAATAAGAAAAGCAACTAACTTCTTAAAAAATCAGAATTCAAAACGGAACATAGTGATTAAACAAAGCACTTTATTGTTCATGGATTTTGAATTGAAAATGAAATGGAAAACCTATTGGTACACCTCCTATCTTGATATACACAGTCCAAATGCATAACTGATTCAATAACAGGATCTATGGTGGCTAAGACCATCTCCAACCGAAAAACTCATACTCAAACTCATGCAGTAATTGTCATATTTTGCAGTAATTCATAAACCCATTCTCAAACTCAATAGGATATTCTCGAAATATGCTTTTTTACATCAACTTTTATATTTTTGCGATACAACAAATTTATAAATTAGACTCATTATTACTTTATATTCCATGGAAAAGAGTATAATAAATTAGTAACATGTTAATAATTAATAATCATAATATGTTTTTATTTTATACCTTTTATGGAAAATTAATAATTCATACACAACAAATAATAAAATACATGTTAAAAAAAGAGAAAAAAAAAATACGATTTTCTTGTTTTAAACTTAAAAAATTACTATAATGTTAATAAATTTATTCAAAAACTTTGTGTGATTGTTATGAATAGATTTTGCTAATATTTTCATATTGGCTAGACTAATTTATTATCTATACGTAGCATACTCCATATAAAATCTATTATAGATTAATAATGTTATTGTATTATCGTTACCACTAAAATAAAAATATTAACTAATTATAGTAACCTAACTTAACTTACATATTCATAACACAACTATTTTTTTTTTTCGGCCTTTTCATGTATACTAAAATGCAAAACATAAAATTCAAAATATATTAACATAATTAATTTTCATATTCATAACACAAAACGCACATTAAATTGAGAAAAATACATTTTTTATTTTTTTTGTTTTTTCACAATATGTACAAAAATGCAAAGTGATGGACAAAAGATATGTAAATTGATGGGTCTACTTCCAGATCTGGAGTAAACCGGTTGTTGTGAGCTCCGATCTGTTTGAACCGCCTTCAAATCGTTGCTAGACCGCCGCAAACACCTGCAAGAACCCAACGCCGGGAGAGGTCCCGGCGTCGGGCCTCCGACGCTCAAGTCAGTAAACAGAGGAGAGGAAGATGAAGCTCTGTGATGTAGAGCTGTGATGCATGTAGAAAATGCATAGAATGTGGAGGAGAGAGCTGCTCTAAGAGAGCAGCAGCAGCAGAGAGATGGAAAGTGTATAGAATGAGTAGAGGTTATCTCGATCTGCTAGACCTGCTAGAGGTCATCTCGTCTTGGTAGACTTGCGAGAGGTCATCTCGACCTACTAGACTTGCGAGAGGTCATCTCGACCTGCTAGACTTGCCAGAGGTCATCTCGTCTTGCTAGACTTGCGAGAGGTCATCTCGACCTACTAGACTTGCGAGAGGTCATCTCGACCTGCTAGACCTTCTAGAGGTCATCTCGACTTGCTAGACTCATCTCGACCTGCTAGACTTGCGAGAGGTCATATCGTCTCGACCTGCTAGAGATCATCTCGTCTCGACTGGACAAGAGGAGCTAGAGCTCATCTCCGCTACTAGATGTCTTTGCTACTAGACATCTCTGTGACTAGAGGTCTCTGCTACTAGACCTCTCCGCTACTAGACGTCTTCTCTACTAGACGTCTCCGTGACTAGAGGTCTCCGCTACTAGACCTCTCTGCTACTAGACTTCTCTGTGACTATAAGAGAGAGGCAATAATTGGATAAGAAGGAATCTTGAGCTGACTAGGAGGTAGATGGAATGCAAACTTACCAGGGCAATTTGGACACTTCAGGTAAACCGTTCGGGGCATTTTGGGTATTTCAAGCATGTATTTCTCTCTATATAAAGGGGCTGAGGTAACCCTAAACCCTAATCTCTACTCATTCTATACACTTTCCATCTCTCTGCTGCTGCTGCTCTCTTAGAGCAGCTCTCTCCTCCACATTCTATGCATTTTCTACATGCATCACAGCTCTACATCACAGAGCTTCATCTTCCTCTCCTCTGTTTACTGACTTGAGCGTCGGAGGCCCGACGCCGGGACCTCTCCCGGCGTTGGGTTCTTGCAGGTGTTTGCGGCGGTCTAGCAACGATTTGAAGGCGGTTCAAACAGATCGGAGCTCACAACAACCGGTTTACTCCAGATCTGGAAGTAGACCCATCATTTGGCGCCGTCTGTGGGGAGCTTTTGAAGGAACTAAGAGCTTTGCACCTAGTTCTGATCTGTCTGAGATGGTTGAGAAGGGAAGTGTGTAGAGGAATTTGAGTGAGGAGTTGTGGGGGATATGAAGAGGAAGGAAACCTCTGGTGGTTCTCAACCCTGAGTTTTTTATCTCTGTAAAGGGGTTGCCACCGTTTGATTCTCACGCGCCGTCATGAGCGCGTATGGAAGAGGAGCTACCTTCACCCATGGAGAGGAAGAGCCAATTATTTGCTGAGACGCAGAGCAATAGACCCATCAATATTATTTATTAATGTAATTAATTGTAATTAAAATATTTAATGTATGTTCATATTATTTATTAATGTAATTAATTGTAATTAAAATATTTAATGTATGTTCATATTATTTATTAATGTAATTAATTTAAATTATGTAAATAATTTAAAGTAAAACATTTTGTACAAACATTTTACAAAATATACACAAATATTTTTTTAGAATTTTTTTTATAATAAATATACATCTTTGAAATTCTATGCAATTATTAAACATCTTTAATATAAATTCGAAATCATAATTGAATTCTATGCAATTATTAATTGCGTCCGATGTAAGAGCAAATAATACATTCAGGATTTTAATATAACAAAATGATAAGAAATTTTAATATTTAAATTTAAATTTGAAATGAGACATGTTTTCACTTGAAGTCTATCTGCCCGATTTTATTGCAAAACACATCAGGATGAATCAATGAAAACTGATTTTTTAGCAATAAAAATATGATTACAATTGAAAAAATTGATGAAAATAGAATGCATTAATTGTCCTTTGACTTTTCTTACTACTAATTTTAGTACATAGAATGGCTCTTTATATATATATATAGATATAGATATTAAAATAATATTTAAAATAAAATAATTAAAGTTGATTTAATGTAAAAATCTGAGAAATGATGTAAAGTTAAGTCAAATCATGTGAGTAAATAAGTGAATTAAAGATGATGTGTTGTGTAAAAATGTTTAATTGATATTATTTACTTATATTGATAGTATCGAAGATAGTGAGGTTGAATAAAAATTTAATTAAAAAATAATTAAGTTAAAAATGATTGATGTTTTCCAATCAGATCCATATCCAATCACACAAAAGTTTTCTTTTCTGTCTTGGAATCATGGTTATGGACGGCTATAGTCTGAGTCTGACGGCAAATGATGGATGGCCGACTGGCCAAAGCTTCGAGGTTTCGAAAAATCTGTGTGGTTTTATGGTCGGTTAAGCGTTCTACACATTTTTGCCGAGTAGCAATTAAACATGAAAGCACATCAATTAAGGATGAATTAATGAAAACTAATTTTATTGCAAAACACATCAATTAAGGATGAATTAACGAAAACTGTTTTTTAGCAATAAAATAATGATTACAATTGAAAAAATTGATGAAAATAGAATGCATTAATTGTCCTTTGACTTTTCTTATTACTAATTTTAGTACATAGGATGGCTCTTTATATATATATAGATATTAAAATAATATTTAAAATAAAATAATTAAAGTTGATGTAAAAATCTGAGAGATGATGTAAAGTTAAGTCAAATCATGTGAGTAAATAAGTGAACTAAAGACGATGTGATATGTAAAAATGTTTGATTGATATTATTTACTTATATTAATAATATCAAAGATAGTGAGGTTGAATAAAAATTTAATTAAAAAATGATTAAGTTAAAAATGATTGATGTTTTCCAATCAAATCTATATCCAATCACACAAAAGTTTTCTTTTATGTCTTGGAATCATGGTTGTGGACGGCTATAGTCTGAGTCTGACGGCAAATGATGGATGGCCGACTGGCCAAAGCTTCGAGATTTCGGAAAACCGGCAAATGTATTTTGTGTGGTTTTATGGTCGGTTAAGCGTTCTACACATTTTTTCCGAGTAGCAATTAAACATGAAAGGAAAAATTGCTCAAGTATTTTTAGGGATTACAATGGATTAAAATAACTTATTGGGCTATTCAAAATAGGGCCATTTGACAATGTGATATCCATTATATTTGGCCAAGATGTATAATCTAATTCAAATAAATAATATTTACACGAATTAAATTACTAAAGCAAGTAAGACTGTCAAATGTGCATACGAGTCGAAGAGACAGGAAATACAAGGATCCAAATGTTTATAGATCTAATCGTTCAGCCACCACCTAAGATCAAACTAGTAGAGATGGTACATACTAAGGGGACGACTGTTTATTGTTTGAACAGTAAAAAAATTAATCAAAATTCAAATTTAACTCAACCCCACTATCTCTCATATTATCAATATAATTAAATAATATCAACCAATCATTCTTACACATCACATCAACTTTAATTCACTATTCATCCACTCACATAATTTTAACTAATTATCACTTCCAATCATTTTTCTCATACTTTACATCAAATCAATTTTAATTATTTTATTTAAATATTATTATAATATATTCACTAACAACTAATAATACCACTTTTTCTCAAAATTAACTATAGTTAAAAAATAAACCAAATTAAAACTAGATGAATCCATAAACAATCACCCCCTAAATATTTTCATACCCCATAAAAATCATATGTTTTAACAAATACTGGAATAAAGAACTCCTATCCAAACCAACCCCGAGCTTCATACCTCCCACTTTCTTTCGCCACCATTTCTGTTTCCCCACCCTTCCTGATTTCTTCTTGTAACCTGAATTGCACATAAAGAAGTCCCATGCGTCAACACTAACATAGTAGCAATTAGAAGTACCAAACTAACTAAATAGAGGACTTGACCATCCAAGATTTTAATCAAAGTACAGGACATTATAACACATCATTTCAATATAAACTTAAAATTTCAATGGGCTGGACTTGTGACCAAGTTGCTTTCATGTGAATACCCATGCGTGCTTTAGAGTTGACAGATTTGAAAAACAAATGTATTGTATTCGAGGTTCAGGTTCAGATTTAAGTCCAGTTTAAGGGCAAAAGCAACCAATATAGTAGTTGTGAAAATAACAAATCGTACACTTCCAAATAACAAACCTAATAGGTTATATCCCCCAAGTTATCCCAACAACAATAGAAATAAAGTGCGGCAAAAATACGTAAAAATTATTAGGAACTGCAGACATACCTCTCAATACCGGCCTCCAATTTCGTCCTACACCAATGATTCATTAACCGACATCAGTCAAAAAATAACTAACACGACCCTATCCAAGCTAACTAATTAAGGATGTCCAAGACGAATTATATCATCCAAACATTGAAAGCTAAAGTCAACCTTTTTTCCCTAAGGGAGGACAGTTCATCTGACTTCTTTTTTCTGCAATAATAATAACAACATGATAGCTTTATAATTCTATTGAATGAATGTCAATAAGATCAACATCATAAAAAAAAAGTAAGAAATATTTTGTCATGAAAAGTAAACGGAAGGCCACAAGAGACTGACTCACAACTTAAGTTTAGCTTTTAATTTTTGCCGTTCCCTGCAATGAGAGAACTCTGACGTAAAATTCTTGGAGGTTAATGATAAAAAGCAGGAAAATGAATACGAAATAAGTTCACATATAGAATCTGAAATCAACTTCCAAACATACAAGGGTGGCAAATAATTTAGATGAGATCGGATAAGATTACATACCAATGGCCACCAAAATCAATATAATCGCTGTAATCATAATGCAATCCAGGGAAAGAAAGAAATAGAGAAAATTAGTCACAACAAAAGAAGATGTACAGATAGCAGCAAATACCAGCAAAAAGGTCATGTTTGCAGAAGTACTCTCACTCACATGTACGAATAGCAGCAAATACCAGCAAAAGTAACTCCAAAGCACACATCAGCATTTCCTATAGAGCATCAAAGAAGATGAAAAATAAATTAAATTAACAACGAGCAAATACAAACACCGACACACCCAATTAACAACCAAACTTACTGCGTAAGAAGGAGATGAAAGTCCTACACCAAAGAAGCACAAATCAAATTAACAAGACAACTAAAGTATGGATCACAATAGCATATCAACAAAGGATAAAAAAAAGGCTATTAAACATGTGCAAAATATATTACATGCCAAGGTGAACAATGACTATGCAAATTACCACACCATATGTTTTAGCAAAAGATTTTACGTTTTTGCAAAAGATTTTACCTGGCACGTCTGGGCAGATTAGCCATGTTGTTGGACTCCTGTAAACATAGGTAAAACCATAACTAAAGATGAAACTAAAAGCACAGTGTTGGGTGACAATTTCACAAAGCTTTACAATCTCATCCGAGTATAATGATTCACTAAAACACAGAATACAAGGAAACAAAGAGGAAATTAAAACAGTATTTTTAGAGTCTAAAACAGAGAGCAAATTTCCCATTTCTTAGCCGAAAAGATATGTGCCTAAGAAAAGAGAAGTGGGGGTGAGATAATCAATATTAAAAGAACGAGACGCAGAACCATCAGATCTTTCACAAGCAAGAAACCTTTTTCAAAACAGTTCATTCAAGCTCAAAAGACCTTAATAACATAAAAAACAATGGATATTTTGATCGCGATTTGCCTCGGTCATAGCACACGACGTCCTCGGCGGCGGCTAAAGGCAACGAATTTGCCGAATATCAGGCGGGCAGATGGTGAGATCGTGTGATGCGACGGCTTGTTCCGCCGGCTTTCTCAATCCCAGACCTTCGCCTTTCACAGCCGATGAACGGCGGACCTCAGAGGGGTCCAAAACCGAGTATAGGTTGGCTTAAAGGAGTATTAAACGTCACCGGTGTCTTAAAACTAAAGAGGATGGAAAGGAGAAGAAAAGAACACGACGGAAATTTACAGCCAGGCGGAGAGGGAGAGAGAGAATTTTTACCTCGTTCGCTCGGAAAGGATTGGGTAGAATGATGGATACGGCGAAACAGGGTTTTGTGTAGTGAAATTTATCGGGAAAATAAAATTAAGATAGCTAAAATAAAAATACTGAGCCTTGTGAGAACACAGTGTCCTTAAAGAGTGTTACTATTTATCGTCCTCTATTTTACTAGTCACCGCCTCCTTGGACAATTTTGCCCTTCTCATTTTTTCTAAACATCTCAGAGGAAAGTGTACGGTGAAATGTCGTCAAATTCGGAGGTACAAAAAAATTTGTGTTCGGTCGCCGGAACCAGACGGCTTTTAGCCCGTCCGTAAAGTACGGCTGGGCCGGAACCGGACGGTTTTGAAGCCGACCAGCCGTACTTTACGGACGGGCTAAAAGCCGTCTGGAAAGTAAGGCCAGTCGGACCGGCCTTGTCCGAACCGGACGGCCGGACGGCTAAAAAGCCGTCCGAAAACGACGGTCGGTCGGAACCGGTCCGTTCAGTTCGGCCGGCCGTACATAATTTATTTTTTATTTATTTTTTTAAAATTATTATGTTATTTATTCGAAATAATTATGTTATAAATTGGACTACATTATTATGTTATAAATTATTATGTTACCTTTTAGACTTGATTATGCTATAAATTGGACGTTTATCGTGTTAGGAGTTACAAATTATTATGTTACATGTTGATTATAGATAGTATCGTTTTACATGTTCTAAAATATAAATATTGTACTATAGCAGGAGTCATGGGAAGATTTTGGAGGAGATGGTTACAGTCTGCGTTTCGATACCTGTACATTCTATAATAGTGCTCAGGAGGCTATTGAAGCTGCAAAACACCAGGCAATGCTGAATGGTTTTCTATTAATAATTTCGAGCCACAAAAAGAAAACGGTCAGAGTTTTGAAGTGCCATAGAGGCGAACGGTACAGAGGCACAGGCGAAAATTCTAGAAAGACAAAAACGAATAAGTGCGGCTGCAATTTTGAGATCAAAGTAAAAAAGGTGTCCGGCGCTGCATACTGGAGGATCTGTAGATATACCAATGAAGAGAAAGGTTATCATAACCATGCATTTGCTGTGTATCCTGAGGGTCATATATAAACTAATTAATATATTATCCCGATGAAGCGTTTATACTAATATAAATTTAATTTTAGTATATATATATATATATATATATATATATATATTCTTTGTTATAAGAAAAGTAAGAGTTTTACATATTTTTATTCACCATATAATACTTAATTAATTATTTTATGATTTGTTGTCATATAATGTCATTGTAGGTTTTTCTATAAAAGTTATAAAAGTAGTATTCTTCTTCTTTTGATTTTATGTAATGAAAAATATTTAATGTATGTTAATATTATTTATTAATGTACTAAAATTAAATTATGTAAATAAATTCAAATTAAAATATTGTGTATAAATATTTTACAAAATATACACACATGTTATTTTAGTATTTAATTTTTTATAATAATTAAACAACTTTAATTTATCAATTACTATTTTGAGCAACATAATATAATATCATATCTATACTTATATAAAAGGAGATTCTATTTACTACATTACTATCCAGAAAAGTCAACTGCATTAAATGTCATTACTATTTTGGTATTATAATATTTTATTTATTGATTTATTTATTTATTTTATTTTAAAAAGGTAAGTATAATAAAAAGATTTTAATAATAAAAAAATTAAATACCAAATAAAAATGTACACTTTGACTTATTTGATTATATTTGGTATTTGATTATACCAAATATATTCCTATTTAGTATATACGTTAAATACTTATTAAAGTATTTATTTGTTTTATTTGTCAAAGTTAAATATAGATTTGTTTATATTATCAAATCATAAAAAATATTAAATCCATATTGTTAAAAAAAAATCATATAATTTTATAACAATTCTACTACACTATTTAACAATATTCTTTTTTTGTTATATAATAAAATAATAATTAAATATTATATGGTGAACAACAATAAGTAAAACTGTTACTTTCTCTTATATCAAGGGATAAATTTATATGCTAAAATTAAATTTTTATTAGTATAAATGTTTTAGTGAGATAATATATTAATTATTTTACAAGCTAGCCTAACATGCTCATATTCAATATTTTAAAAGATGTAGAAAAAAACTTATAATAACTCTATTATTTTTTAGACTTAAACGTTGATTAAAAGAGGTAAAAATTCCTAATTTTTTGAACTTAAACGTTGATTAACACCATAAATTGAGAGTTTATATTTAGTAAAATTCCTAATTGTAATAAAAAAATTAATTTTTGCTATATTTTAGAATATCTTTAAATTCATTATAGAACAAAAAGAAAAAAAACTACAATGTAAAAAGCAAGTCAGCTATATATCGATTTGTTGTACTCCTCAAATCACATTCACAATTTGGCTACAAGGAAAGGAAACTCATTGATTAAAATATTATTTTGTCAGTAGTCTTAATGTACAAGAGACTTTAAGACTCCACTTGAATATTATAAAACTTTATTGAACATTGTACAATTTTCTTGCGTATTATAAACTTTTATTGAATATTGCATCTTATAATATAATATTTTCCAAATAAATATATTCCGTGCTTCGCACGAGTCACGTACTATATATATCCCGTACATTTTTCTTTATTCATGTATATAATTATAAGCCTAGATAAATAGCCTTAAAACTGTGTACCACGTGCATCGAACGGGCTCTGTACTAGTATTAAGTAAATGCCCAACTAAAATATGAAATTCAAGCAATCTAAATTGAATAACATAACCCTTTTTTCTTGAACTTTGATTTTATTACAGACAAACCAACCTTATTCAGATCATCAATTTTTTTCTGCCTTAAGTTGTGTAGGAAGTTCAATAGGATTTGCAAGCTTTTCTCTGCCTCATCTTGTTCCATTCTTTTCTTTTTTTTCAGCCACCAGAGACAACAGAGAGCCTAACTCCTTTGCCGACACTTCACAGCCCTGTTTAAGCATAAAATATGCCAGGTATAATAGGTAGTTTACCATCAATGGATTACTCTTCGAGAATTGCATGATACAACCATTAACGTTGAGGTCATGAAAGTTACAAACGATTAATCTTACAATATAGGGAGCTGAAGAAGTATTCATCAGTGTTGATAGGGTAAAAAGAAAGTACGTGATAAATGATAAAAATAAACAATTATAAATTATTGAAACGACAAAAATATTAGGAATTGCTGTTTTAATTAACCATTAACATTTTCAAAGGAATTCCCAAGTCTGAATTACCTTTTCTAATGATTGGCGAAATTGTTCTACAGGAGAGACGGTTTTTAAATGCTCACGAGCAAATATCTTTTTCAATAGCTACAAATGTGGCACACTAAGCTGCACTGTGAGGTAAATATCTCAAGATGCAAACTTGGTAGGAAACCAAACAATGGAAGTCAATAGTACAATAAAGTAGTGAAGAAAAGTTGCAAGCCGCGTAGATAAAACATTGCAAGTCTAGCTTCAAAGAGGTTAGCAGTTAGCACAGATACTTGCAAACTATTAAAGTTGAACAATTTGTCCCAAAAACTAGAAAAATAAGAAAAGCAACTAACTTCTTAAAAAAATCATAATTCAAAATGAAACCTAGTGATTAGACAAAGCACTTTATTGTCCATGGATTGTGAATTGAAAATGAAATAGAAAACCTATTGGTACACATCCTATTGGTACACAACCTAGTGATATACACAATCCAAATGCATAACTGGTTCATAACATCCCGTTAGCAAAGGTGACCCTCTAGATGATTCAACCTTCTGCTACAGACAACTAACCTAACAACTACAGAGAACTAACCTAACTACTACTAACCTAGCAACTACTAACTTAGCAACTACAGAAAACTAACCTAGCAACTACAGAGAACTAACCTAGCAAACTACGGTCAATTAACCTAGCAAACTACGGACAATTAACCTAGCAACTACAGAGAACTAACCTAGCAACTACATAGAACTAACCTAGCAACTACAGACAACTAACCTAGCAATTACAGAGAACTAACCTAGCAATTACAGAGAACTAACCTAGCAACTACAAAGAACTAACTTAACAACTAGAGAGAACTAACCTAACAACTAGAGAGAACTAACCTAACAACTAGAGAGAACTAACCTAGCAAATACAAAAAACTAACCTAGCAACTACAAAGAACTAGCCTACCAACTACATATAACTAATCTAGTTGGAAGTTTAGTTGTCAACGGTCAACGCTGGAAGTCAGCGAATTTCGCCGGAAGTCAACGGTCAACGCCGGAAGCCAACGGGTCAAAATAATATTTAGATAATTAAAATAATAAAAAGAAAAGAGTAAATCTTGGCCACACATGATGTACCAAATCTTGTGGCTAAAAATGAGTCTCACGTCCTCACTTTAAATAATGGAATACATTGGAACCAATCCCTATATATATATATATAATTGCTAGCATTTCATTTAATTTTACCTAATAAATTTTATCTATGTCATAAATCATTAAATATAATTTAATAAATAAAACTTAATAAATTTTACATATGTGGCATTAATCCACCCGATCGATAAAATATTTAATTACATTTTATTGAGTCATATAATAGTTATTATTAAAATTAATAATTATATTTTAGACTAAATGATATATGAAAGTTACGTAAACATAAAAGATTATATTGCAAAAACTTTTTGTTCAAGTTATTTATTCTAAAATCAATATTATATTTTTTAACTGATTACGCGATTGTTTTTTAAATAAATTAATTTTTTTTCTAATGTCATAGCAATTTTTTTTTTAAATTGCATAAACAATTATTATAATAAACTAGTATTCGACCTGTGCATTTGCACAGATATAAATAAATTATTGTGAGTCTATATGCATATAATGATTAATTATTTTTCTTTCACTTTTTTGCAGACCAAATTTACAATTAAAAGAGTTGTAATATTTTTTTTTTAAATTGCGTTTATCTGATTGGATGTAATGTATATTTTGGTACGTCTTTTATTTGTGAATTATTTATTATTTATTTAGAAATTTTAAATATATTTTTTATTTAAAAAAAATTAAATGTAACAACAATAATAACATCTAATCACATTATACGGTCAACACATTATATGGTCAACTGTCATTAATCAAAAGTTTAAAATGATTTTTGTAATTTTGAAGTGATGAGTATTAATTATTTAATGATTAAATGAAAGATTAAATATATCAAAATGTAACGGTTTTTGGAGGGAAAATTGTTAAATTGCCACATAGGTAAAATTAAATAAGTTTTATTAAATGTTATTAGCTAGTAATTATATATATATAGATTTAATAATTTTCAACTAATTAATTGGACATGATCCCTTAAAATTACAAAAATTACATTATTTATTAAATTTTTATGTAATCAATATAGTGATTTGTATGCAATTAAATCGTTATAATACCATTATCTAACTTATAATTTTAATATTATTTGCATATAAATAACTTATAATATTTATTGTGAAAATGCACATAGTCGAATACTAGTTGCAACTAATTATCCTGATCCCAACCCATATTTGCCAAACCAGTAGAATATTCAACATTGCCATTACGAACCACACACCCACAAACAACAATCAGAATTGTAAACAACCACAACCAAAAGTGGAAATGAGAAGAAATGTCGAATAAGAGCCACACCCAACACCAGAATTTAACAACAAAATGAAATAAACCCAATTCAGGACCCAAAGCATGAAATTGAAACCTTCAAGTAGAAAATTGGGGAAGAGCTGAGATGTGGTGAGGAACTGGGGGCAACAGGGACAATCACTCTTATTCTGAAGATGAGTGAAGATGCACATGTAACAGAAACTGTGACGCAAGCGGTTAAGAAGGCGTCCTTTAGAATCTGCATACATACCAGACAAAGCAGTTTCTTCTCCTCCACAGCCTTCGCCGCTGCCCGAGCTTCGGCCTCCCCCGGCTCTGTCCTGTCCCCCGCCGGCGTGGATGCTCCGATGAAAAAAACGTGGTGTCACGCATCCCTCGATGAAGAGTTTGTTAAAAGCTCGCGGGCGGTGATTTCAGTGTGTGAAAGTGAATTTAAGAAGAGGTAATTTGACTAATTTCCACTGCGAGATAGTTCTCTTTCCTTGGTCCTTTGGTTAAGTTTTATTATAAACATAATATACAGTAATATATAGTAGTTATATTTGTTGTTGCTTTCATTTGATAAAAAAAAAGATAAAAATAAAATAAAAAAAAAAATGTACGGAATAATTCTATAAATATATCGATTGATGTTATTTAACAAATAGCATCAAAAAACATAATATACATGACACATCAACATATTTGATCATTGGAGATGCTCTAAGAGCAAAGGTAATTTATCAACACATTTATTTACATGACACATCAACACAATTGATCATTGGAGATGCTCTAAGAGCAAGGGTAATTTATCACAACAACATTTGATCATTAGAGATGCTATTTGATCAAATAACATCTCAGAGCATCTCTAATGTTCAAAAATATCACAACTTTCCATCTTCCAATGTACAATGTGATCAAATGTTGTGGTGATGTGGACATAATTAATCTCTACAATGTAGAGAAGAATTCCACATTCTCCTCCACACTCTAGATAGCCAATGAAAAGAAGAGAGAGAAGTATTCTTACATTCTCAAGCTATTTAATTATTTAATTAATTTTCTAACTTTTTGTTGATAAACGGATTAAATCAACGTTAATAACGTAAATTTCCCACACAAAATGGTAGAAAATGAGAATTTTATTGAATATTATGAAGTCGGTTTCAGTACAAAGAGGTCGGTCTTTCAGTATACTTCAAGTCGGTTTACAATGAGATATCCGAGGTGAATATATGAGTGTGTATGATCTTTTTTCGAACCCTTTTCTCGTCTTTGGAGCTGCTATTTATAGGAATGTCTGGCACACATCCCAAGACAAATTATTTCCGTTTTAATGAGGATTTGACATTTTAGGGGCGGCGATGACGTAAAGGAATTTTGTAGGCAATGATTAGTATGGGCGCGCCTCTATCTGCGTGACGAGTGTCACATTTGTCGGAATGAGTTCGGTTTACCTTGCGAAGTCGGCATCTTGATTGATTTCCGATATTCTACGACTTCTTAATAAACAATTCTTTGACCGAATTGGCCTTCTTCGAGGTTCAGACGACTTGTGTTGATGACTCCCCAAAAATCCTTCGGGATCATTTATTGGTACCGAAGTAAGATTTCCGAGCTGCAACAGGCGTTGCTTGACGTCGTCCAGGATCCAGTTTATGCATCAATCTTTCGCGATTTCTTTAATGATATCTTTACATCGAGATATTTTATCTTTATATCAACACTTTTTATTAAAATTTTAATAATTGGTAAATAGATAATATTGTAGTTAGACTACATTATGCATTGGAGATGATTTTTAAATTTCATAGTTGTGAACTTAACATTATTCCTACATGATTCACAATCTATTTAATTTATTGACATTTGTCATAATTTAATCTATAATAACATTAGACCATTGGAGATGCTCTAAGGGTGTGATGGGATGTGGTTTTGATTTGGTTTCAATTTGTATTTTGTTAACTATAATTAATTTTCAAAAATATGGTAGGATTAATTGTTAGTAGGATTTTGAATTTATATTAAAACAATATTTAAAATAAAATAATTAAAATTGATTTGATGTAAAAATCTAAAAAATGATGTAAAGTGAAGTTCAAATTATGTGAGTGAATGAGTGAATTAAAGTCGGTGTGATATGTAAAAATATTTGATTGACATTATTTAATTATTATGATATATCCAATCAAATCCATATCCAATCACACCAAGATTTTCTTTCTGTCTTGGAATCATGGTTGTGGGCGGCTATAGTCTGAGTCTGACGGCAAATGATGGATGGCCGGCTGGCCAAAACTTCGGGGTTTCAGTAGACTGACGAGTGTATTTTGTGTGGTTTTATGGTCCGTTAAGAGTTCTAGACATTTTTGCTGAGTAGCAATTAAACATGAAAGAAAAAATTGCACAAGTATTTTTAGAGATTAGAATGGATTAAAATAACTTATTGGGCTTTTCAAAATAGTGTCATCTGACAATGTGATGTCCATTATATTTGGCCAAGATGAATAATCTAATTCAAATAAATAATATTTACACAAATTAAATTACTCAAGCAAGTAAGACTGGCAAATGTGCATTCAGAGTCGAAGAGACAGGAAGTACAAGGATCCAAATGTTTATAGATCTAATCGTTCAGCCACCACCTAAGATCAAACTAGTAGAGATGGTACATACTAAGGGGACGACTGTTTATTGTTTGAACAGTAAAAAAATTAATCAAATACGTAGAGATGTTACGTACTAAATATTTCATACCCCAGGATTCGTTTTACTAAGTACTGGAATAAAGAACTCCTATCCAAACCAACCCCGAGCTTCATACCTTCCACTTTCTTTTCCCACCATTCCTGTTTCCCCACCCTTCCTGCTTTCTACTTTTAACCTGAATTGCACATAAAGAAGTCTCATGCGTCAACACTAACATAATAATGATAAAAAGCACCAAACTAACTAAATAAAGGACTTGACCATCCAAGATTTTAATCATAGTACAGGACATTATAACACATCATTTCAATATAAACTTAAAATTTCAATGGGATGGATTTGTGACCAAGTTGCTTTCATGTGAATACCCATACTTGCTTTAGAGTTGACAGATTTGTAAAACAAATGAATGTATTATAATCGAGGTTCAGGTTCAGTTTTCAGCCTAGTTTAAGGGTAAAACAACCAACATAGTATAGTAGTTGTGAAAATAACAAATCGTACACTTCCAAATAACAAACCTAATAGGTTATAGCCCCCCAAGTTATCCCAACAACAACAGAAATGAAGTGCGGCGAAAACATACAAAAATTATTAGGAACTGCAGACATACCTATCAATACCAGCCTCCAATTCCGCCCTGCCAATAATTCATTAACCAACATCAATCGACAAATAACTAACAAGACCATATTCAAGCTAACATATTAAGGATGTCCAAGACGAATTATATCATCCAAACACTGAAAGCTAAAGTCAACCTTTTTTCCCTAAGGGAGGACAGTTCTTCTGACTTCTCCTTTCTGCAATAATAATAATAACATGATAACTTTATAATTCTATTGAATGAGTGTCAATAAGATCAACACAATTTCACATAAAAAAAAAAAAGTAAGAAATATTTTGTCATGAAAAGTAAATTGAAGGCCACAAAACACTGACTCACAAGTCAAGTTTAGCTTCTAATTTTCGCCGTTCCCTGCAATGAGAGAACTCTTACGTAAAATTCTTGGAGGTTAATGAGAAAGAGCAGGAAAATGAATACGAAATAAGTTCACATATAGGATCTGAAATCAACTTCCAAACATACAAGGGTGGCAAATAATTTAGGTGAGGTCGGATAAGATTACATACCAATGGCCACCAAAATCCTTATTATCGCTGTACTCATAACGCAATCCAGAGAAAGAAAGAAATAGAAAAAATTAGTCACAAAAAAAGAATGGGCCGATATATGACTATGAAAAATGGAAAAGCAAGATGAACAAAGGAACTAACTACTAAAAGGGTCTTTGCAAAACTACTCTCACTCACATGTACAGATAGCAGCAAATACCAGCAAAAGGCACTCCAAAGCACACATCAGCATTTCCTATAGAGCATCAAAGAAGATGAAAAATAAACTAAATTAACATCGAGCAAATACAAACACGGACACACCCAATTAACCGAACTTACTGTATAAAAAGGAGATGAAAGGGGTAGATGTCCTACACCAAAGAAGCACAAATCAAATTAATAAGACAACTGAAGTATAGATCACAATAGCATATCAACAAAGGGAAAAAAAAAAAGATAAAAAAAAGGTATTAAACATGTGCAGAATATATTGCATGCCAAGGTGAACAATCAACATGCAAATTACCATACCATATGTTTTTGCAAAAGATTTTACCTGGCACGGTGAAAGGCATTTCTTAGCAGATTAGCCATGTTGCTGGATTCCTGTAAACAGAGGTAAAACCATAAGTAAAGATGAACCTAAAAGTTTAGTGTCAAAGGCGTGAAGAAGTGGGGTGGACAATTTTAGAAAGCTTTACAATCCCATCTGAATGATTCATTTAAAAACACAGAATACAAGGAAACAGAGAGGAAATCAAAACGGTATTTTTAGAATCTAAAACAGAGAGCAAACAGAGAAGAAAGAAGTAGAAGTGGAGGTGGGACAAGATAATAATCAATATCATAATCAGTATCAAAAGGAAGAAAAGCAGAAACATCAGATCAATCGCAAGCAAGAAACCTTTTTCAGAAATGTTTATTCAAACTCAAAAGACCTTAATAACATTAAAGAAAATGGATATTTTGATCGCGATTTGCCTCGGTCGTAGCATACGACGTCCTCGGCGGCGGCTAAAGGCAACGGATTTGCCGAATATCAGGCGGCAGATGGTGAGATCGTGTGATGCGACGGCGTGTACCGCCGGCTTTCTCAATCCCAGACCTTCGCCTTTCACAGCCGATGAACGGCGGATCTCAGAGGGGTCCCAAACCGAGCATAGGCTCGTGGTGGGTTAAAGGAGTAATAAACGGCATCGATGTTCTTAAAACTAAAGAGGATGAAATGGAAAAGAAAAAAACTCAGACGTTTCCAGCCCCGGCGGCGGCGGCGGCGGCGGCGAGATATATAGATAGAGAGTTAATTTTTACCTTGTTCGCTCGGGAAGGATTGGATACAATGATGGATATGGCGAAACAATTTATAGGTTTCTAGGGTTTTGTGTCCAAAATCCAATACGAGTTGGTATCGTCGGTTGGCTTTCCCTAAGGGTGTTCATGGTTCGGTCCACCAAATCGACCAAACCATTAAACCCGAACTAATCGACTCGTAAATTTTAGAGACTGAATCGATCGAAATGTGGAGTTAAAATCGATTTTTTAATCGAATCGAAATTTTTAATCGATTCGGTCGGTTAATCGAACTTTTACTTAATTAAGTTTACAATAATGTTATATAATTTATATTTTATATATATATATAGGGTCGCGTTCCGGTGAGAATGATGCTCAATTAAAGAAATAAGAATAAATCTTAGTCATTCAATCTCATCATCCAACAGTACAAAAAATATCAAATTTTTACACTCATTAACGGTAATTGAGGCATTTCATCAACCACGCACCACTGGGGCCCACACATCTCATCTCACTCACCACGATATTCTCTCTCTCACCCATCACTGGCACACAAACTCTCTCTGCTCCCAACACATACATCCCCATACTCTCTTTTTCTCTCCTCATCATCACGCACAAACATTGCATCTGCAAGGCCGAATTCGTGTTATCGCCGTCGTGCAGCTGGTCGTCGGCAGCCGACCGAATCTGCTGCACCGTCGTCGCTGGTCGGCGAAAACCACCCTAATCGGCCCAACCAACCGGCAGCGCCACGGGGCAACAACGAGAACATCGGCCTTGCAATATATGAGTGTAAAAATTTGATAGAAATTGCATATATGTATGAACGGGGGATTTGGCCTTACTTTGAGAATTAGATTATTCTAATTGGGTTGACGAATAGATGCAACAATTCAGATTGATGAACGGGAAAATTATATGTGTTGTTATATGTGTTGGGTAATTGGGTTACTTTGAGAATTAATCAGAATGAGTTGACGAACAGACATACAACAATTCAGATTCATGGGTCTTACTTTGAGAATTAGATTATTCTCAAGGATGTATATGCAATTTTCTAAATTTTTAACTATATGCAATTTAATTCATGGGTTGAATCTATAATTTACCAAAAATTTATAAAAAATATATTAATTTTTTAATTTTTATTATAAATATTAATATAATAAATAAAAACATTAAAAAAATAATTTATAGTAATTAAAATAATATAAAATATATTTTTATTTATATAAATAATTTAATAAGTGCAAAATAATGAAATATAAACTATTAAAGTTTCTATAATTGAAATGCACATAAAAATACACAATCAAAAGAGTGCACAATAAAGTTGTATAGAATGCACATTATTGAATATTATTATTTTATATATTATGACTTTTGAACTAAAAAGTAATATAAAATATAAAATATATATTAGAATATTAAATATATTTACATAATATAAATAAGTCTTTTTGATTAATTAGGGTAATTCGATTGATCGATCGAATAAATCGATTATTTGGATTGAATTTAATTTAGTTTGGAATAAATCATTAAAAATTTCTACAGATCGAGTGCACGATAGTACTATATGAATTGCACATTATTTATTAATAAATTGCACAATAGGAATCGATTCGATCGACTAAACTGTTTGATTCGATATTTTGTATTTTGGTCCGATTACTTGTTATTACTTTAAAATATTGATTATTTCAGATTGATGTCGGTTTTTTTTTAAAACTAACTTAAATAACCGAATCGATTGAACTATATGATATTATTATTATACTTAAATAACCGAATCGATTGAACTATATAAAATTATTATTATTATTATCGTTGTTGTTGTTGTTGTTGTTGTTGTTGTTATTGTCATTAATATTATTATTATTTTTATTTTTTTAAATGTACTGAGAGTGCACAATAATGTTATACGAATTGCACATTAATAACTATCAGATTGCACATTAGGGACCGAAATCGAAAAACCGAAAATTCAAAAATAAAAAATATAAATTATTAAATAAACGTATAAAAATAGCAATATCAATCGATTAACAATATTGTGTATACGTTGATCAAATTTCTTAAAATATTGACGCCAACTGAATACACTTTTTATATACTGTTAGTCTGTAATATAATTTTCAACCCATGTATTACATGGGTAAAAAGTTCAGTCCTTTTTTTTTTAAAAAGTTCGAATCGATTATTTCGGTTTTGAAATTTTGGGGTAAAACATATTGATGGACAATATTCTACATTCCATACCTTTTTTGAATTTTAACGTGCAAATACACACATTTTATTGTGTATTATATTGAACATTATTGTGCATTTTACATATCATTGTTGTACATTATTTGAACTTATATTAAATTGCAGATTTGCCTAACATACTAAATTAAAATATAATAAACTTCACTTAAGTCCAAGTAAGTTATCAAATTTACAAAAGAAAACCTACAATTCATGAATAATGAGTACAGAATATCCCACTTGCAGACTTCATCTCTCCCAACTTCCAAGAGCACTTCCAGTTCTCCACCTATGAGCCAATTTCCAGTTGGTTAATTATATCGAACCTAGACATATGGCAATCTTGGTGCCGATTCCCAAGGTGAAATAGAAACTGGACTCGTCGAACTACTAGTTGCCGACGCCGTCATCAAATTCGAGGCGCCTCCCTCCTCGACAACAATCCGTGCGCCGGTCACGCCCGATTTCGCCGCGGCCCGCTCTCAGATTCGGGTTGGATGTCGGCCAGTGCACAAGGGTTCTTAAATTCCGGTCAGGGAAGATCGAGCAGAAGAAGACGTCGACGACCATAACCGTCACGTCTCCGGCAGCGTCGGTTGAAGTCGTCGATGACGGTGGCATGAACGATCTGCGGCGTTGCTGGAGGTGTGGAGGTCGGGGCTGCGTCAGGGCGGTCGGCGGACGCTGGGAAGTCGATGGAAGAGGTGGATGTGATTTTATCGGCGACCGAAAGGGCATGCGTCGGTGTCGGGGCTGGTGGCGACGGCGGCGGGCGGCGGATCTAGTGGCCGACAGCGGGAGTTGTGTGTCTGTGTAAATTAGGTGTGAGAGAGAATGGGTGGACCGTGGGTTTTGTGGTGGGTGGGGCCCACTGATTGGGTGGAGGTAAAATTACATATGTGCCCTAAGATTACAATGTTTGACAAAAGGATGTTTAATTATTTACAAATATGCCACCGCGTGATTGATCATTTTTAATTAATTTTGACTTCATCATGGTCATTGATGTGGTGGATCTAATGGCCCAAAATTATTCTTATTTCTTTCATTATGAGTCATTCTCATATGATCCCAACCCTATATATATATATATATATATA